TAGAAGTAAAAGGAAGGAATATAAAGTTGGTTTATTTGATCAAGGTTAAAATAGATATGTTTTATCTCTGGTAACCCTTAATGGACTTCTGCTGATATTAGGACTGAAATGATGAGGCTTTATAGATTTCTTTATGATATAACAGATAGGATATAGGAAGAAGAGATCATTTGTTGTATTTTAAGAGAAGGTGATAAGTTACTAAAATTGTTTATATTTGTTGTGATGAAAGGGGAAGTCACTTCTTTATGTATTTCTTTTCTTTTTCTTTCCTATATTCTTTTTTTCCCTCACTTCCTACTTTTTCTTTTCCTTTTTTTTAGTTTGTAATAGTTTTCATTGTTGTAATCTTTAATAAGATTACTATTAAAGAACAACAAAAGCCCAGCATCTCTGGAGGGAGCCCAGAACTGCCTTTGCAGGGAAAATCAGTCCTGCTGGTTCCCCTTCTGCTTCCAGCACAGAGTCCTAAAGATTCCCACCAGTCAACGGGTTTGCTACAGTCACTGGACCAAATAAACTGACAGCTGTCTTACCAATAAGACGGCCTGGGCAAAATCGGCAAACTGTGTGGGATGACTTGAATCCCAAGGCCTCCAACTCACCCGCTCCTGCCTTTCCTTCTCCTTCTCCAGATGATGGAGGCGCCACTGCTCGGCCACGTGCTCCATGAAGCGCTGCCCGTTCACTAGGAAGTCCCGAGCATGTTCTTGCTCCCACAGTTCAACGCGGACCCTCAGCTCCTCCTCCAGCTGCAAAAAAGGGGGCACGTTCAGGTCAGGCTGCCAGAGGCCCAAAGGGCAGGGGGGCTGGGGCCACTTGCCTTGGGAAGGGTCTTCTGGAGCTTGGCGCGCAGCTTCTCTTCTTTCAGAAGGTTGCCTCCTCGGTTGGTGAAGCGACTTGGGTCCGTAGCCTTTTTCTACAGAGGAGAAGACAGTCAACATCTCCTGCTCAGCCCAGAGAGGCGGCCCAGCCCAGTCCGGCTCACAACTACCTCAAGCTCCTGAAAGAGACACCAGTTCTTCTTCCACTTGTGGATAGCTTCAAAGAGCTCTTGATGTGTCTCATAATAACGCTTCAGCTCCACGAGCTCCTTGTCGTGTTGCTGCAATAACTCTTCGGTGACGTCATCTACGAAGGAAGAAAGCAAGATGGAAAACAGAAAGGGCCGCTGAAGAGAACCTCGCTCACCCCGCAACTCACAGGCCCCCAACCCACCTTGGTAGTAGGGGCTAAAGGAGCGCCTCTGCTCCTCCCCAAAGAAGCACTTGTCCCAGAAGGTGGCCAGCTGAGCCCGAATGGCCTCTACCACTTCCTGGAGGTTCTGGAGCTTCAGTTCCTCCAAGCGATCGACTTCCAGGTGCAGCTAAAGGAAGAAGCCAGTGAGAGTCAAGGCAGCAAAACACAAGGATGGCACTTATTGGATGCCAAGCTTCTGCTAGCAATGTGGCAGCCTTTCAGTGGGAACTTAGAGGAGCAGTGGCTGCTCTGTGCCCCCAGGAACGGACAGGGCCCTCACGCCCAACAAGGAGTTGGATGTGACCCAGGGAGCCAGCTCAGGGAGAAGAGCCCAGCCGTCTTACAGCGTTCATAATGCCGGCTCTGGAGCCTTCCATGTACGGAGCAAAGGCCTCTCTCTCCTCCGGAGGCACCTGCAACCAGTCCCAGAGTGTCAGGATGCGGGAGCGCAGCTCTTCGCACAGGGCCTCCTTCTGAGCCCTCCGGCCCTCCAGCTAGGAGACAGCAAAGCAACAGCCTTAGAAAGACAAGGGAGGAGGTGAGGAAGGCGGGGGCCCAGCAGCCATTGCCGTACCTGCTGCAGCAGATCCTTCAGCGCAGCCAAGTTATCCAGGGAGAGGCAGAAGGCGCCCGCCCCCTCGAACACCGCCTCTCGCGCAAAA